CTTTGGTGAACTGCTTCATTTGCAGTAAATCGAAGTAGACATGTTCTGCCTATTTGATTATGAATCATATCATATTATAAATATAAATATACACAACAACAATTGTGTCTCCCCTGGCCAAAACCAATGAAAACCCACCACTCAGTAAGATGGGTGGCCTACAGGGAATTGAATTAAAACCTGCTTGTTCCAGTTTTTGCTGCATAAAGGTTTTCAACACCATTCCAGTCCTGCGCCTCTAAACTGCACTGTGACATTTGTGAAGTCGGATCAGGAGAGGAGCTTCGTGTGAGACAGCTGGTTTCCTCTCAGCAAACATCCATAGAGCTCCATCCTCCTAAAAGATGTTCCTCAGAAGAAATACTATTGTGCATTATGGAACGGGCAGAATCAAAGGGAAGCACTGCGAGATAATTTTACACAAAGCAGACGGTATTGCTCTGAGCGCTGCCTGCGCATAACCTCTTAATGTATGGGCCCTCGATGCATAACTGGCCTTTGAAAAGGACGTTTCCTCTTTCCCAAGCTTACGTCACCTTTGAAGCAGCTCCCTCTGACAGCCTGCACTCCTGGGTTCGACTCCCAGATGTGTACCAACAACGGCGTCGTGATCTCTGAGGTGTATTCCTAAGGCCATCCAGGCCACCACTGCAAAACACGATCATTACCAGAGTACAATGTGCATTTCTGTCTGTAAACCATACGGCACAAACACGTTGTTTGCTACCTGTAGCTGTTTGCTTATGTGTTATTTTAACCCCTCCGTCCTTATATTGCTTTTCAAAGTCAAAGTAAACTTTATTCTCAGCTATATACATGCATACGGTGTGACGTTTTGGTTATAATATACACGCAGTGGCCAATTTACTAATTTATTAAGTACACCTGCTTGTTAATGCAAACAACCATTTCAACCAAACACTGAACCATGTGGCCACAGACCAACATATGAAGCATGCAGGCAGGGTGAAAAGGTCCAGTTAAGCATGAGATCGGCTAAGACGCCTGATCGTAGCCGTACTGAACATTACGACATGCTCCTTGGTGTCAGACGTGGTGGATCCAGGCTGCATTGTAGTGCTCCTACACACTACAATGTCTATAGTTTACAAGAGAGTTCTGTGATGGACAAAAACATCCAGTCGACTGCTTTTCTGTGACTGGAAAACACCTTGTTAATGAAGGTCTGAGGAGAATCTCTTAAACGAAATTCACAAATGGAAAAATAACATCTAAGTATAACAATGGTGTGTCGAAAGGCTTCTCTGTTCAAGTGTTTCTGGTAGCAAAAATAGGTTATAAACGGTACTATGTATTCCTAATAAAGTGGCCACAGAATGCATATCCGTATAATTTACTCAGCAGGGATTATTCGGATTATTTGTAATTATCCTGCGTACTACCGCCTAAAGAAACAAAAAATTACGAGGACATAAACTTGCAAGTATCAAGTAATTAAATTACATAAGAGGCAAACGGAAAAGTTTGAAAAGACGCAGAATCTGAACTTTCCCTTATATACTGCAGGCTACACAAGCTGATGCTCTGAAATACCCTATCTACAGACAAAGCTTAAATAGCACACAAATGCGACATATTTCTGCTTCGTGCATAACGTGATCTTATGGCTCTGCTTCCAGTTTCGTGAGGACAGAAAATCCCCCTCCTTGAGCAACTCAGCTTCGCACGTAGGTGCACAGGATTGCAAACCCGCGGACTCCGCAAACGATCCTGCAAATAGAGTGGGCTGTGTGTAGCAGAGATTATGTCAGACTTCATGCATTTGGAAAGAGAGACGCATGCAGCGATCCCACAATTTATTTCAGATTGACTTATTTCTGACACTTACGGCTGCGAGCAAATAAAAATTTACTATAATGATAAACGTTCCATTACATCGTTCACCAGTTAAACACAATATATTACATGTTGATTACTGTCAAACAGGAATGTATTACAAATACAGAATATAATGGAAAATTAGCTAACTTAATTTATTTAACAATAAAATTACACTGAAAAGTTTACATAAGATGCACATGATTCGGTTAGACGTGTTATAATTTTGCATGTTCAGTAAAGATCTTTCGTATAGGATTTGGGTACTGATTATAGGCTAGATTAGATTTATATTCAAATTCAGAGCGCTACCTTGCTGAAAAATGACACGGAGGGAAGAAATTATAAAGTGATCGTAAAGTGAGTAATTTGCACTCTGGGGTATAACTTTATTTTTGTCAGTAGTGACATGCGTGAATCACGCGAACGAAGACGATTTGTGTGGCACAATCCGTTACAAAAAGCTTTGACTTTTGAACAGCATGAAGACTTGCTTTTCTTTATATATGACACTCGCTCAATACGTAATAACTAATCATTTCCAATGTTAAAACTAAAATAATAATATATCCCAGAACAAGAGACTCTCCGCTTATTAAATGAAGACTGGTTAACGAATGTTACTCGCATTCGTTCTGTTCTTGCACTATTCTGGTCATCTCTCACTTTGTATTTTATGGCAGGAGCTCATACCTATGCAAATACATATATGTGTATTATTTCTAAAAAAAATTATACTTTACTGTTTTTATTTGCCTTTTATATTTTATCTCTTATGCTTTGTTAGATTTTTATTTTTCAAAATATTGTAAGGAGTGAGTGGCAAAAATTTCACTGTACACATGCACGTTGTATATTTTTGTATGTGCCAAATAAACTTACAAGGTTAAGATTACACCTCCTTTTATATTCTGTTTTCTGTATCAGGATGAGATATTTTATAAACTATAGCTAATGTTTAAATATGTTATTTGGAGGTTTTCTCAATACGCGGGAATTAATCATTTCCAAAGAACAACTCAATCTTTTAATAAAACTGACGCAATAACGGCGGTCGTTTTTATCTTGAACTTCACCCGACCCAGCAGTAGCTTTACGAAGTGGAGACGAGCTGCGGCGAGCGCTTCTGCGCTGACACCACTAGGCGGCAGTATAGGGCAATAGAAATATTTTTAGACCGTCCATTACTCGACTACGAAGCTGAAGTATTTCTTAGAAAAATATAATAAAAAAGCAGAAATCCTTTACATTGCGCAGTGCAAACATGGGGCACATTTACTTTGGATATAAAAAAACGCTGGAGGAAAAACAAAACCCTTAAAGAAAGATGGACAGCTAGAGAATATGAAGTCCTCCGTTTTTAACTCTTCCAAGAATGAATGAGATGATGTTAACCTCTTATATCACAATTTGGCTACATGCATGAGCGTTTCTTAAATTTAACCACATTTCAAGAACTTTTAAATAAGCCATTTGGCTGGTGTTAGGGAAAGGCTTTGTTTTCGCGCATTTCATAAATGTCAATATTGCAAGGGCTTGCGTTAAACAGGCACTGTTCAGACTTATAGAGTTATATAAAGTTATTTTTTTCGTTACCTGGACGCCGTTAATAAATTGTAGTTCAACTAGTGATTTGCCCAGTAGAGTATGAGATATGGATCTACTCTGCTTTCACTGTGTTAATGACAGTGGATTTTTACGCGACCGTTCCAGTCTAAAACTAATTCCGTGGGCACATGGAACAGTCCGTTACAGTGATAAAAGAGCTAATTGTAAAGTAAGAAAAAATATCTCCATGTACAGGACAAGTACTGGAGAGTGGAGGCGAAGGGAAGTAGCGGGTGATTGAAGTTATACGAGGTGGGGTTCAGGTCATAGATAGCGGTCTGGATGGCGGAAGGTAATTGTGTAACTTATGCGTAATTTCAACCATAAATTGGAACTCAGGTCCAATGAATTTCATTGCAGCGTGGCAATGAAGGCGAGTTTCTGTTTGGGACAACTTTGGATTCAGTTTTTATGTTACTTTAATTGTTAAGAAAAAGGAACGTCAAGTTTATGGACTTACATTATTCACAAAGCAAATATTGAGTTTGTTTCCACATAATCGATCACACAAACGAACATAAAACGAAGCATTCAATTCCTCGGTCTAATGCAGGTTTTTTGAGTATGTGGTCTAGCGGCAGCTTCGTGGACATCTGAGTGTATTAAATTGATCCTTAGTAATAAGGGCTGCCTTAGAACGCGCCTTTTGGCACAGAAAACGATTTCAGCGCGTTGTGGACCCGGTGAGTTCATGGTCTCTACAAGATGCTCACAGGTCACTCCATCATTTCTATACCTTCGACTCTTTACAAAATAGGCGCTCTCGTAAATGATTCGGGTAATAGTCACAAATTGTGGCACTGCCACAACTAACACCCCTCACTGCAGGAGCGCTCCCTGTCTATTACGCGTCTGAGCCTTGCTTACCTCCCTCATTTCTTGCCTGGAGTTGTAATTATTATTTTTTTCATTTATCTTGTGTGGTGGGAGAGTTGAGGACTGCCAAATAATCGCTGTTCGGAACAGCCTTTAAATTTCACTTAACAGCTAAGGCATTAATAAACTGAATATGTCGCCTGTCACCAAAGTTTATAATTCCTGTTAGTATTCATCACTATTTCACATAAAATTTGTAGCTGTGAAGGCGGGTCTATTATAGCCTTTAATTGCCTGAGGGCAACATTGTTTGCACTTATTTAATTAAATAAAGGTAGCAACGTAGACGTTAAGACATTTTATCTCACCCAGCATTGGCCAAAACATAAAGCTGTGGAAGTCGGAATGATTTACGCGCAGACATATTGCAGAATCGCAGGTGATAAGTTCTCGGTAGCAGAGGACGAGAAATAAAAATCTTAAGAACTTTAACCCCATTTCCGTTCTTTTACCCTCTCTGTCTCCCCCCCTTTATTAGCTCCCTCTCTCTCCCTCTCTTTGGGCGCGCGTCCAGGTCCCGCACGCTCCAGCGCTCGTCCCGTTCACTTTTCACCCCGCCTCGATTGGGGGGGTGGGGGGTGGTTAAGGGGCTGAGGGGGAGGTGGGGTTGGGGGGGAGCCGCTTGTAGCCTGGCCGCTTGCCACTGAGCTGCCTCCTCTATATAAACACACATTGGAGACTCGCTTTGCGACTCGAATTCACATTGAGAAACTGTATGTGAAAAAGAGAGAGAGGACGGAGTAAAACAGAGGTAGAGAGAGCGAGAAACTCATCACCAGCTGAAGATTTTTACCTTGTAGCCGTCAGCATCTGAGCGCTAACTGCAAAGGATTATTCACATTTCAGACATTTATTTCTACCTTATGAGCAAAATTTGATTTTAATCAATTAAAACCGTTTAGGATAGCACCGCAAGTCAATTAACAGGCGATATTTTTGTAGACTTATAATAATTTAATATTTTTTCCACATTTTAATCAATAGATTTGACAGAAACAAATTTCCCTCTGATTCTGAAGCTAGTCACATTAGGATTTTTTTAAAAAGAGAGAGGAAAAAAGACTTTTTCAATTAAAAACCTTAACTTTAACAGTGACTTAAATTTAGACAAAATGTTTTTTTTAGCAGTCAATAAATGTATCTCGATGAGTTTTGCCCTGCAGTCAACTAATTGAAAGTAAACTGTAATATTCTTCATAAACATCAAAGATTTTATCTGATGAGAGGAACAGAGAACTAAACTAAACAGCACATTTGGGTTTTATAACTACATAAGTAATACATTTTTTTGCGGTTTTTAGTAGTAGTAGTAGTAGTAGTAGTAGTAGTACTATTAAGGCTACCGTCAGCATAATATTGATTATTTTACTATTATTAGCCCAATATTCATCACTACTTTAGTTTCAACCCAGAAACCTTTAAGCAGCAACACCATGCTTTTTGAAAGCTTTGACCTGGTCTCGGCTCTGGCCACTCTTGCGGCTTGTTTGGTGTCAATGGCTCTACTGCTGGCGGTGTCCCAGCAGCTGTGGCAGCTGCGATGGACCGCCACCCGGGACAAGAGCTGCAAGTTGCCCATGCCCAAGGGCTCAATGGGATTCCCCATAATCGGAGAGACTTGCCACTGGCTCTTCCAGGTAAGCGCCTTCTCATCTCCCCTCTTTCCTCCTCCTTTCGCTTAGTCGCTTCTTCTCGGCTCTCGGTTTACTCCTTTCTTTGGGCTTTGGGAAAGGCTGAATGGATTTCAGAAGATCGATCCTTTGTCGGAAGATGCCCAGCGTCAGGAAGGCAAATCCATGCTTTAAGAATATCGGAATGAGGTTTGGTAAACTGATGCTAACTCGCGGGGACACGGACTGTGCACGTGCGAGCGTATATCCGTTGCTTTAACCGTAGCCATACTCGCTCATAGTTTGTTATCGATCTCTATGCATGCAAATGCTAGAAAATGCATTTTAAAACTCATTTTATTCTTTAAACGTCCTGGATAATCCTTCACGTTTGTTCAATTCGAAGACGCATCGTTTCGGAATTTGCAGAATTTCTTTGGTAGGAAAATTCTTTATCGTTTGGAAAAAAGTAGAAGTGCGCTTCCTACGGCCAGTAATCTGTTAGACAGAAGCTTGCGAGTAAGAAAGAAGCGGTTCCTGACTTGCATTTCATCCCAGTGCGCGTCTGGAAGCGGAGCAGCGGCGCGCTGTCTGCGCCTGCGGTAACATAACCTCCTGCTGACCAGCGCTGATGTTTTATTTCGCTCCATGTACAATTACGCATTCCGGGAGTATATCCATTAAAGTTTTTTTTCCAGAAATCTGTGCACCAGTACTCGATGATTAAGTTAAGTCTGCTCAACTGTGATATAGGTACTTGGAACGGAGGATTGTTAATCCCGATATGAGATAAATACCTGCAGTTTTAAGTGTAACGCGTCTGTTGTAAAGTTTAGTCCAAAACGTGATGTAGACAGGGCTTTCCTGGTATAACTTCTACAACAGAGAAAGTTGTTTAACTCTTTTATTTCGTGATCTAAAGCCGTTCATGTAATTACCAGTCGGCTGCTTGCATATGCTTTATTATCTCTTATTTTGCATGTCAGCCCATGTGTTCGCGGTTTCCTTAAAGACGTGTATCAGCTTAAAACAATGGTATTGTGGGTACTGTACGCTCTAAGATAAACGTGAGCATAATCGTTTCAGTTACTTGGCACCAAGGCAGCCAAATTCAATTGTTTTTCAATTCCACCCATTCCAACAGTCCAAGGGAAATGATTAAAGTGGTATTACAGCAGAGGAAGGGGACATATCCCGTGTTATCGGAGTAATTCTTATAGCTCGAGATATCATTTTCAAGTGAAGACAAATTTTCACTTCCATTGGCTGAATTCCACAAGAGTTTTTCTTTTCGTCTGGCAAGCGGCTTAAAATTTTAAGCCGTTTACCACCACCCTCATCATCATTATTATCAGTATTATTTCAATTATTATTGTACAGCAATAAACCTTCCTAATAGATATGTTTTATTTAGGTAGTTCATCAACAATCTGCGTTACACGAGTTTACTTTTTTATTTTGTCATTTCATTTTAACGTTTTGATGAAACATTTTTTTTTTTTGGGGGGGGTGGGGGATTTAAAGGTTGCTACCGTAGAAACTTTTGCACCCCCCCGCAAGCGACTGACGTTTTTCTGATTGCGATGCGAGCTGTCAGCTCGGACGCGTATTAAAGTCGCTCCGAGCTTCACGCCAAACGCTGCATCCGCGCCCCACACCGGGCTTCACAGCGCTTGCCATCCCTGCGCAGCCTAAGAGCACGATCTCAACCACGCTTCCAATACTGGGGAACCCAGCTTAATTAAAACGAGTGATCAGTGATTCTTTTTGCTTAGTGATCTGGGAAGTATAAATGGTCGTTTGAACTAAAGCGTTGGAAAGTTACACCGATCTCGTCGTGGATAAACATAGAGCGATTTTTTTTTTTAAATTTAGATTTGAAATGGCCCCAGACCAAACCTCAGAAATACTTCGTCTGTACGCCGTGCCCTCCGGAAAGCCTTGTGGCAAGAACTCAAGTTCAGCGCGTCCCGGCGGCGCGCTCAGCCCCGCGTTCCCGCTCCCGCTCCGGCTCCGGACTCTCCACTGCAGGGTTTCTGATCGTATCACCGTCGCGTCGAAGCTCCCGATTCCTGGCAATCGGCGCGGCCAAACGCTGCGCAAAAATCATGGGGAGGACCCAATTTAGACAAAGTAAGCTGAAACCTCTTCTTCGCATTTTTCGCTTTCCAAGACGCTCTCCCAGGGATTAACTCTTGCCGAATGTGTCTGAGAGTTTTTTTAAAAATTATTATTAACAAGTAGATTTCTGAAAAATTGATCACTACCGATGTATTAGTCAGGCACCTGTAAACGCTGGGATTATTGATTCGCTATAGTATTAAACAGACTTCTATATCAGGACTTGCTGGGGAGTGATTGTGGAGTTTTCGTCCGCCTCTGGCGCGCAGTACAGGTAGCTGCCCTCTCCCTTATGCACTGGCAGGCACTGGACCCCAGCCAGCTGTTTAAAAGCAATTGTGGTGTGTAGACGGGATGAAGGTCCATCAGGACCTCGTCAGCCTTGGCCCTGGCCACTAGTCAGGATGAGAGTGAGGAGGGGCTGGTCGGGTGGGGATCTGTGGGGGCNGGGGGGCAGGGACACCTGTGCTGTTCACTGATGCTTTTTTTCTGTCTTTGATTGAAGTGTTTGGAATGAAAGACCCTTCAAAATGGCATGCTTCTTAATAATTCATTACGTATGGAATCTACAGGGAGATCTTCATTACTCTTTCAGCATTTGCAAGTACCTATTTGTCTGACAGATCTGTCTTTTTCATTCTCCAACATTTATAATAATAATAATTATTATTATTGATATCGCTATTCTTATTGCTTTCAGCTGAATGAGATGTTGTGGTTCCTCGGTTACATATTAACGTGCAGTGATTTTTTTGAACAGCCTTGACCTTCTCATTGCACAATAATAAACGGCCCAGCCATCTCCAGGCCAGGATCACTGGTCTCACACCCTTCCATCACCAAGTCTGTGAGACACTCACATCTCAGCAAGCCATACTTTTTGGGGGGGGGGGCTCCAATCTAGAGCACAGGTTGATGCACGGTGACGACCACGGTGGCAGCCTGAGATTGAGCTTGAGGGAGGGGCTGCAGGGTGACAAAGGCCTCTCTACCTTGGGGAGTACAGAGCACAGGCTTGTGTTTCCATGCATCCCTGGTCATGGATACCGATTTGAATCCCCTTCCCTGTTGATGCACTTGCCTCATCTGACACGGGGTGCCGCCTCGCCACCATTAATTCAGGCCTTTGGGACTTTGGTGTCACTGTTGTTGAATTATGCCACATTAGGTCCAGTCTTGGTCTATGGACTTACCAGTGACTGGCCTCCATGGTTTAGGCTCAGGGTGTACTGGGCCCAGTGTTGGGGACAGGTTCTGTGTATTAAGCTCTTACTTTGTCATATTTTGGTGAAATGTTCGGTGGAATTTAAATGACGTTAACCCGAAAGTGTTGGTTAACCACTGTATTAAGGATGCGAATGAAGTTTTGATTTTTAGCTTTTAGTATGATTTTTTAGTATGAAAAATTGTTAGCTAAATGTATAATGACGTTTTATATCAATTTATTTTATTTTGTTTCCAAAATAAATAGATAAAAGGAACTGTGGCAATGTTATAAGCACCAGCACACCATTTTAATTTTCATTTTTTATTGTAATTGAATAATGAAAAGGAACCATATACATGGCATTTATAAAATCTAATTTTTGCATTTTTTTCAAACATACTGGTAAGAAACATTTGTTTGGAAAAATGTATGAATTATGCAATGCATTTGCTGACTGAAAGCTGATTGAAGACGATCTGATTAAGAGCACATTTGAAACACAGTGCGTGCAAAGGGTGACCAGGAATGAGAAATGCTCAGTGGTTCAAAACCACACTGGGGACATAGGACTTGGATGAAGACATGGCTCCATCTATGGAGAGATTCTGCTTGGAATTAATATGATGACTAATGTTAGCAGGATTCCCATGGTCTTCAGAGGTCTTCCACATTACACGTTTTAAAAATATCTCTGTCAGTCTGTCTGATCTGCACCCAAGTGCATCGACATGGCGGATGATGGTCCCATGACTCTCAGCGCAGAACCAAGTACCATGAATACTGCATCTCCGCTCTCAGATAGCATATCTGCATATGCCTGACTGACGACTTGCCCCCATGCTTCCTGGGCCGTGCTCACTCTTCGCCGTTGGTCTATCACCTGGCAGCTCATCTGAGACTCTCCCTCAGGTGCCTCTGTGTCAAACACCAACATTTTTGGTGACGCGTGTGAGGCTGGTTTGAAGTGTCCGTGTGGGATTGCATCTTCAAACCTGTTCTTCAGTTCTTATGGTATCTTACACTTGTTGTGGAGTTTTACCGTGGCGTTCTGACGACAGCAGGTCTGACAGTCTACCATAAATTTCTAGTTAACTTGTTGGCTGCTCACTGTAGAGCGTTTTCAGGTGCCTGATGAATACATCGGTAGTGATCAGTTATTCAGAAATCTACTTGTTGAGTTTGTCATGGAGTATTGCATACTTCACGGTACTGTGAGGTATTGAGTATTGCTGATGAGGTGTTGGTAATGATATGGAGTGTTGGACGGAGAATATTTACAGCTTACTCTTGGCAGTACTATCACAATACCCGAGTGAAGCATGACTGGTTTTTTGCAAACTGCTCCCCCTGGGGTTATGCTCTTCAGACCTGGGGGGTCCTCACCCCAAACCCTATTGGGGAGCAGGCTAGATGCAATTTGCATGCAAGGCAGGACTAGCCTCCTAAAAGCCCCCAGCCCCCAGCAGAGACCCCTACCCCCCCGCCCCCCCCCGGCTTTACCAGATTAAAGTAGTGAGTGGCACAGCAGTGTCGTGCCCCCGCTTTCACCCCTGGAACACACAGCGCCCCTCAAATGGCTCTTGTCTCGGTGGATAAAACGGGCACTGCACAGCCGAGCGGGATTTGGCAGCCCCGGGGGGGAGGGACAATAGGGGTCCCGGGGTGAGCGCTCACACCACACTGAACAACCGTAATCTCA